GCCCCCACCCCCACCCCAAACAAACGAGTCCCCAATTCTCTACCGTCCTCGCCGCGGGCAGCGGGCGGCGGAGGCAGCGCGCCGCGGTCGCCGGGAGCTGGGAGCCCAGGGCGCCCGCTCCTCGGCGCAGCATGTTCCAGCCGGCGCCCAAGCGCTGCTTCACCATCGAGTCGCTGGTGGCCAAGGACAGTCCCCTGCCCGCCTCTCGCTCCGAGGACCCCATCCGTCCCGCGGCGCTCAGCTACGCCAACTCCAGCCCCATAAATCCGTTCCTCAACGGCTTCCACTCGGCTGCCGCCGCCGCCGCCGGTCGGGGCGTCTACTCCAACCCGGACTTGGTGTTCGCCGAGGCGGTCTCGCACCCGCCCAACCCCGCCGTGCCAGTGCACCCGGTGCCGCCGCCGCACGCCCTGGCCGCCCACCCCCTGCCCTCCTCGCACTCGCCACACCCCCTCTTCGCCTCGCAGCAGCGGGACCCGTCCACCTTCTACCCCTGGCTCATCCACCGCTACCGATATCTGGGCCATCGCTTTCAAGGTACGTGCCACGTCGCGGGACTGCAGCGCGCCGCTCCCGCCGAATCCTTCACTGCCCCCGGCCTGCTCCAGGTGGGCGCTTGGCAAGGCCTGCACAGAGGTTGCTCCGGCTCGCGGGCCCGCGCGGCCGGTTCGGAAACTGGGCGGCGCGAGGCCGGGCGTGCTGTTGATCCCCAGGCTCCGACGCTTCGGCCGGTTTGGAGTGCTGGCCTGCGGGCCGCTTGACCCTTTGGGAAAGGGGTGTGGACGGAGAAGTTGTCCCCGAGAGCGTTCGGGTCGGGGCAGGCTGTGACAGCCTGCTCTGCGTGCCCGCCCGCCGGGGAGCCCAGAGCCCGCAGAGTCCCCAGGCTCCAGGTCCCCTGGAGATGCCCCCAAGCCTTTCTAGCTCCGAGGGGCGCGGACAGGGCTGGGGCCGCCAGGTTTGCCTTCGACTGCGTTCGACCCTGTTCGCCACCCACTTCACGCCCCTTCAACCCAGACCCGCGACTTCTTGGTCTTCGACCCTCTTCCGGAGGTGAGGGGACCCTCGTGCCCCTGGAGCAAAGTATGGGGGTTTATTTTTTTTCCTGCTTTTCTGAGACCCGGGGAGGGACGGGAACCCGCGCGGGTGGAAAGCTCCGGGGCTCGGCGCTCTCGCCGAGAACTGCTTAACTGGGGCGCCGAGCGGCCACGGCGGGAAGGCAGGTTCGGTCTGGTTTTTTGTTTTTCTTTCTTTTAAGAAAAATGAAACGGGTCTAGAGACTGGATGGGAGGGGAGGATGTTTGGGTGTTTTCATTTCTTGCGGTATTTTTGATTTGTTTGTTTTTCTCTGGGTGGGGAGTGGGAGGAAAGTTAAAACTTCCGAAAAAGGGATAGTTTACCGATGTGAGTCGGTAGAGGATCTATCTCTGGCGGCAGCTGATCGATCCTCAGTGGCTTGTCCGTTCATTAACCCTTTGCGTCCCTGCCAGAGCCTAGAGTCGGGTAGATGTCACCCCCCTTCCCACAATTTAAAAAAACAAACCAAACAAAAACCTTTCACCCTTACTCCTGGACTGGATTTGCCTCCATTCCTGCCTGGACTGTAGGTTTGTTTTTCTTTGTTTGGGTTTTCAGTGAATCGATTTCCTGCTCTAACTCGTGGATCCGAAACTCGTTGGCTTTGCTCGAAAACTTTAGGGCTCCCCTTCCTCATTCTCTGCATGCCACGCTCTTGGTCCCCCCAGCAGATCCGGAGCACCCGGGGTCTTGCGGGGCCGCAGACGGTCCCAGCGGTGCCTGCCGCTCGGGAGCCCCCGGGTTTCGATCCCTTCGCTCGCGTCTCCCTTCTAGTTCTCTGGAGCGGGGCAGCAGCGGGAGAAGCCGGGCACACACCCCGGCGAGATTTCTGTCCCGGTCGGGCTGTAACGACTCGCCCGGCCTCTGTACTTTCCCGGAGGGATAACAAGACAATTTTTAAACAAAACTCTGGATAGCAGGCCGCCGCCTCTCCACCCTGGGTCAAAGTTCCCCGAAAGGTTAGAAAGAAGAGAAAGCCATTTCTTTGGGTCGTGGGCGCCAATCCCCGAGCCGGGCCTTGCGGCTCCCTCCTCTGCCCCCGGCGCCCGGCGCGGAGGTGGCGAGGCCCGCGGCGCCAGCGCGGCTGCGGAGCCCGCCGAGGTCAGGAGCCGGAGGACTGGCCCAGCCCCGGCAGCTGCTGGTTGGGTGCAGTACAGGTGGAGCCCTGGGGGTCCAGGCCGGACGGCTGGGCCGGTGTCCCCTTGGTGAGCCTCGGGAGGATCACCGGCCCCCGCAGGCCGAGCGGCGCGAGCTATGCGGAGTTCCTGAGCGCTGTGCCCGGCCAGCCCGGCTCGGGAGAAGCGAGCGGCTCCGGCAAGAGCGGCCCCCCTAATGGAACTTCTGGTGTGCCCCCTGCAGGGAACGACACAAGCCCTGAGAGTTTCCTTTTGCACAACGCGCTGGCCAGAAAGCCGAAGAGGATCCGAACCGCCTTCTCCCCGTCCCAGCTTCTAAGGCTGGAACACGCCTTCGAGAAGAATCACTACGTGGTGGGCGCGGAAAGGAAGCAGCTGGCACACAGCCTCAGCCTCACGGAAACTCAGGTGAGTGTGGCCCAGGCACCAGAGACCCTTCCAGGCGTGGGCCCCCACCCCAAATCTGGCACCCAGCGCTGGTAAGTGCGGAGCTGTGAGAGGGCCTTTGGTGAGGGTCCTGGTAGCTGGTTCCACGCTTGGGCTCAGGATTTACGTTTCAAGGTGCCTGGCTTTGCTGGACTCCAGCAAGGGGCTGTGAGAGTCGACCCACTCCAAGTTCTGGGGGGATGTGCCGAGTCGTTTCCTCCCTCCATCTGGACATGCCTTGTAGCTCCTGGCTAAGACGTCTCCGCACTTTTGGTGAGACTTTTGGTGAGAGTGCGGGGACCCTGCTGGGGTCCAAGAAGAGGGATATCACAGTGGGGTGGCTAGGTGTTTGGGGCTCGAGGCTGGAGAGGGCAGGGTGTGGGTTAAGGGAGAGTTCTGAGCCACTGCAGGCCCATGGCTCACACCGTGGACTCCAGTTACTTTCCTTAAGGGGACGGGAGAGTCGGAAGGTGGAGGCCAGGCATGATGGGTGCAACATAAATTAGAGAAGTAAAACTGGAAGGCTGCAGAGAGGGTCTGCCTCAGGGGACCGGCCTTCTGCGCAGCAGGGTCCCAGGGCGGGCCTGACTTGGGCTTGTCCCAGGGTGGGGAGGAGGCTCCGGGCTACAGTAGGCGCTACTGTACGTGGAGCCGCAGGACAGGGTCAAAGTTCCCAGTAAACAGTAACGTTTTGGGGGCAGATTAAGTTGTAACACTTTTTCTGGGCAGTGCAAGAAGGTCGAGGCTTTTGTTTTAAAATGTCCCCCCACCCCCAAAGCTGAGGAGGGCCTCGCGGGTTTGTGCCGAGCGGCACAAGGCGCGGCGGGCTGATTTCTCCCGGACAGCCGAGGCTGCGGTGGTCTTTGTCCGCCTCGCTGCCCACGCTGCCTGGAGTCTTTGTGTGCGTGTCAAGCCCCGAGCGCACTGACGCGCGCCTTGGGCGAGCGCCGGGGAGAAATGAACCATCCTCCCCCTCAATTAGCAAACTCAAAGCAAATTAAATTCAGCCTTGTTCCCGCTCGGCTTTTTCATGGGGCACTTTGGGGGACTGGGGCATTTGGGAGAGCAAGTCGGGACTGGCTGGCTTCTCAAAGGAGGTAGTGGAGAGGACCTGAGGGGCTCAGGGATTGGGACTGGGCCGGGCTATTGCTGTCTATATAGGACTGGCTGTGCCTATGGGAGGTACGGTCACCACCATCTCCCTCATCCGTACCCCAGTGCTGAGAAGCTTGGACAATGCTACTGTCTGGTCTGAGAATGGGGACCCACCACCCAACTTTCCTAAGGGGCCATGGGATGGCAGCTGACTCCAACCTCATTGCGCCACAGACCTCTAGCTGTTGCTCTGGTGAGGCCAGGCCACCAGCCCCACCCTGGTGGGAAGTGATGTGACCAGTTTCGCGGTTGACTCTGGCCAGTTCTGGGGCCAGTTCGGAGGAGGGAAGAGAGGGCTCACTCTGGTCTCCCTTCCTCCTTCTGTTTCTCTCTTACTTCCCATCTATCCCACGATCTTTCAGAAGCTTTCACTTTTGAAGCCTTTTTCCTAGCTAGAAAGGTACATTTGGGTTGGTGCAGAGGCCTATACATACTCCACTGTCCTTCCTGGGTTCTTCCAGCCCCACCTCCCTCCTGCTCACCTGTAAGAGTCCCCATCAAGGAGGACGCAGCTCAGACAAACCCTAATCCCAGGACCCCGGCTTGCATAGGAGGCGCTATATTTAGGAAACGCCGCCTAGACCAACAGAAAATAGAAAGCACATTGGGCCCTCAGGGAAGCTGTGGCAGCCGACGACCGGGTCTTGCACATGCTTGCCGAAGGAAGTTAGGGATATATCTCCTTTTATTTTTCATTGCTTATTTTTTTTTAATAAGGATTTCCTGTGCTTTGCAAGGCCTTTGCTCTCAGTAAGGTATGGATGGGTGCCCTATGTAGGGCCCAGTGAGAAGGGGTTCAGTGCACTCTGGGCCATGGGACCGGGAATGGCTCCCAGGAGGGCTCAGAAGGGCAGGTAGCCAGGTCTCCTACCCTCGGAGCACTAGGGACTCTGCTCTGGAGGGGAGGCTAAGGGGAGGCCGGACCTTAGGATACGCATCAGGGGGCTGAGCCTTTGCAGAGTCTGGGATGCGTGTCAGGGCTCCACGAAGGGATAGAGTACTTGGTAGGAGGGCGCTGTGAAAAAACTAACGCGCCCCATTGGCCTCTCCCCCGCAGGTAAAAGTATGGTTTCAGAATCGAAGAACAAAGTTCAAAAGGCAGAAGCTGGAGGAAGAAGGCTCAGATTCGCAACAAAAGAAAAAAGGGACGCACCATATTAACCGGTGGAGAATCGCCACCAAGCAGGCGAGTCCGGAGGAAATAGACGTGACCTCAGATGATTAAAAACACAAACCTAACCCCACAGATACGGACAACACGAAGCAAAACAGAGACAGGGAGAGGAGGAGAAGAAAAAGAAAGAAACCCCTACAAAACAAAAACAAACCGCACACACATTGACCGAGAAAGGGAGAGGGAATTGAGGGAGCAGCGGCGCGTAGCGAAGACTTTGGGCAGCGGGGGCACAGGGTCCCGATCGGCCGCACCGAGATGGCAGAGGACGGAGGCTCCTTCATCAACATGCAACCCTCGTCTAAAGAGGCAGCTGAGTGAGTGAGTGAGAGAGACAGAGAGAAGGGGGGGAGAGAAAGAGAGAGAGAGAGAGAGTTCTATCCGAATGTGGCAACCTGAACGTGCGCTCTGACAAGGGGAGCTGTCAGTCACACACCAAACTAGCGAGACGAGATGATTGGCAGGTATTCCGTTTATCACAGTCCACTTAAAAAATGATAATAATGATGATAAAAAAAACAAACAACCCAACCAGACACAGGACTTTTTATTTTGCACTTCGCAGTGTTTTCCCCCCAATCTTTAAAAATAATTAGTAATTGCAAATGAAAATTCCACATCTAGCCCCATCCCACACCTGTTTCAAAATCTTGAATTGCATGTAGCAGTTTTTGGGCAAATGGTGTCTAAAGACAGAAAATTAATTGTAATTTTCTTTTCCTTTTAAAGACAGGTTCTGTGTGCTTTTCATTTTGATTTATTTTCCAAGAAATGTGCAGTCTGTAAACACTTTTTGATACCTTCTGATGTCAAAGTGATTGTGAAAGCTAAATGAAGTAGGCTCAGCGATAGTGGTCCTCTTACAGAGAAATGGGGGAGCAGGACGGGGGGCTGGGGGTGGTGGGGGAGGGTGCCCACAAGAAGAGTCAGGACTTGTACTGGAAAAAAATGCTAAATTAATTGTATTTCTTGGACATTCCCTTTCCTAACATCCTGAGGCTTAAAACCATGAAGTAAACTCCTTTCAGTGGTTGGAGAAATTGGCTGAGTTCAACCATCCACTGTAATGGCCATTCCAAACTTTAAATCTATCTGTTGCAAAAACTGAAGGACTGTAGTCAGCGGGGATGATGTTAAGTGTGGCCAAGCACACGGCGGCAAGTTTTCAAGCACTGAGTTTCTATTCCAAGATCATAGACTTACTAAAGAGAGTGATAAATGCTTCCTTAATGTCTTCTATACCAGAATGTAAATATTTTTGTGTTTTGTGTTAATTTGTTAGAATTCTAACACACTATATACTTCCAAGAAGTATGTCAATGTCAATATTTTGTCAATAAAGATTTATCAATATGCCCTCAGAGTAGTCGTCTTGGAAAATTGAAGTGGATCTTTAAAAATGTATCTCAGTAATTTGAGTGTGGTCCTTCCCCAGCTAGGCTCAAGAAACCCAGGCTCCCCACCCACAAAAGGGCCAGACTGATGGGTCCTTAGGGATTTTAAAGAAGGATGAGTGTTGGAGAAGGGAGAAGATTAGGAAAACTTAAGTCCTTCAGAAAAGGGATGTGAGAAAAGTTTTTCCAACCAGACCTTTGCCCGTTGCATGCCCTACTGAGGGAGTTTAGTTTGAACTTTAGGTTAAAAATGCTTACTTCTCTTAACCTGTTTTTTTTTTTTTTTTTTATCTGGATATATAGTTATGCATTGAAGAATATTCCCCCAGGATTAGGGAAAACACTTAGCAGAATCAGAATCGTGGGACTTCTAAACTTTTTTCTGACTCCAACCTCCAAAGTACAAGTCTCTCTCTTCCTTCCTTCCTTTCTTTCCTCTCTCCCTGGCCCCACACTGCTGAAGGTGATGGGACGAGCCCAAGGGCCTTGGAAGCCTTATAAGGCAAGCATTCTGAAAAACCTTCAACTCTTAATTTTAACATTAAAGAAAAAGTTGTAATCAGTCTTGGAGGAAACTTAGCTTTTTTCCCTCCCTCCTTCCCCCTTCTGGGGGTACGAGGTTGTTTTTGCATGCTTCATTTGCTTCTTATCCTGATAGGCTGCATTAATCAGTTTTATTTCCATTGATAGAGAAACCTCGTCTGTTCTGTTCGAGCTACAAAGCGTCCTGCGAGCTTTTGTGAAAGTGCAAATCAGTTTAAGCAATTATCATACCAGGAATATGAAGGGGAAAGAGGAGGCCTTGCCCAGTGGTCTCCTTTAATCTCTTAATCCACGGATCCAGGGGGGCTGCCTGGACATAATTTAGGACAATCTCCCCACCCTTTACACTGTGATAAGGCCAAGTTACAATGCAGGGCAAAAATACAAGCTTTGTTAACATCCTGCCTTGAAAAGTTAAGATTAGACATTCCGTGCACGTGTGGGGACTATAGGGCACTATGGAAATTTTTTCTTTCTTTTTTCCCTCCCCTTCTCCAAAGTAGAATTCATTCTTGGTCTCTCTCTCTCTTCTCCTCCCTCTATTTCTGCCCGTCTTCCCCCTTTTTTCCATCTCTGTCCCTCTGTGGAACCCGGGCTGCTCATAGTGCATTTTCACACAGACTCCTCTTGGAAAGTGTGCGATGTTGGGGAGACTCCGCTTCAGGGAGATGCCTGGCTGGAGGGGGTGGCCACAGGAGATCTGGGCTTGCCTCTCCCAGGGACAGGTGCAACCTGGGGACCCTGGAAGCCCAAGTGGGGCTTTGAGCTGCTTGGGCAGGGCGACCCTCAGTGACCACTAGCTGCCCCGAGCGCTTTGCAGACAGCGCTATGACACCGCATCCCTTTCTCTTAAAGAAGTACAAGTTACCTTTTCCTTCTACCCACCTTCCCAAACTCCGAATGCCTCAAACACCGAACACGGTCCCGTTAAAATTCAAACTTGCCTTTTCAGAAAACATTTTCCCGTCTTGATAAAAGGCTCATTTCTGCGGGAACCATATACTTGATTTTTTTTTAAGTACAAGAAAAGGGGGTTGGTGGTGAAGTTTTTTTTGTAAACGTCCTATGTAGTGTAACAGCAATAAAATCATCAGAGAATACTATTAGCTTTGAAAAAAAAAACTAAAAGCTTTATTACAAACCAAGCTTTGAAAATAGGGGGGATTAGGCGGCTGAAAGGGTCCCACAATGGTAAGAAGAAAAGGTTTCATGCTAATGAGGTTAATGCCCTTTGTATCTCAGGCCTCCACATCTTCATTACGCGCTATCTCCGGCTGCACGGAGCGGCTCAGAGAGCCGCAATCCACTCCAACGCCCCCCTTCCCGGCCCAAAGAAGGATTTGATAGCAGCTCTGTTCAAACTAGATAATTATATCTTTTCAAGTCGGAATTAAGATAAAGAAAGTGAAGCAGAGGCGGCTCGCCTTGATCCACTGCAAACAAATTTGGCGCACTTTCGAGTCCTTCCCCCGCCTCAAAAAGGCAGGACAGTCAGCTTATTAGCCGCTCGTTTGCTTTATTAATTCATCTATTTAAAGTGGCAGGATTAGAGCGTCTAATGTGGACGCGGGCTGCCGTGGCGCTGAGGAATATAAATATTTGCGAGATGCCATCCCACGATGACTATCTGGGCGTGGGGCTCAGGGCAGGGTGCGCGGGGCGCGTGTGCCCCGCCGCTGCGTCCCCTTCGCAGTGCGCGTGCTGGGCTGGAGCCCTCTGGGCAGAGGGGTGCGGGAGCCGTGCGCCCCAGGTCTGTGTGCCCCCTCGTGCCATAGAGCCAGGGCTCTATGGGCCTCGCGGGTCGGGTTCTGTGTTCCTCCCAGCATACAGCGAACTGTATTCATGTTGCCATGTGTCCTGCTTGTGACTCCGAATGGGGATGTAGGTTACGAGTTTGATCCACGACCTGTTCCCTCGTTGATTATTCGTGGGCCTTCCCTGTGCGTCCCCCTGTGCCAAGTGGATGTTCGGGAGAGGCACGGGTTCTCAGTTTGCGTTGACCGGAGAGGGTCGAACGGAACATACAACTCATGTGTGCTGCGGCTACCTTCTCCTGCGAGGGACACATGGGCTCCGTGTGCGTTTCTTGCTCCGGATCCTGTTCCTCCGCGAAGGAGCCAGAAACTCCTGGGGTGGGAGAAGCCTTGGACCTCCGAACAGTTACTTCTTCGTGGCTCTAGTTCTGGGTGTCCGGTGCTCTCAGCTCCCTCTGGCTCTGCTCCTGGCAGCCGAGCCGAGCCGGAGCGGGCGCGTTGGCCGCCGCCCGGAACCTGCCGGGCCACTTTTGTGCGAGGGGCGGGTTGTGCCAGCCAGAGAGCCGCGCCAAGCCGGCCGGGCAGAAAGGGGGCTCGGGCCTGCGCGCGGCTTTGGAAACCTCGGCTCCTCCCCGTCCCCGCCTCAAGTCGCAGGAAACAAAGTCCCGGACGCGCAGGCCGGTTGGGGAGGGACTCTGGCGGCTCAGAGGCCTGGCCCTGGGCCCCGCTCGGTGGCGGGGGGTTTAAGGGCTGGGCTACCCACACGTGGGCAGCTGCAAGTCGGTGTTAGGGTGACTCAGGGTGGGGATCTGGGATTGTGTGTTTGTACAGGGCGAGTGTACTAGTCTGTGATACAGTTGTGTCTGTGGATTGGGCAGATATAATTATGTGTCTCAGCCAGGACTTGGGTCACTTTGTATCGCTGCTAATTGAATGAGTTAGAGGCTGGAGAGGCCAGTGCTACTTGTGTGATTATCAAGATGTCTGGCTGTCCTTGTGCATCTAGACTGTTTTGAGTTAGGGCAAGCACGTGCACTTGTGGGGCTGCAGAGTGCCTATAAGGTGTGGAAATACAGTTTATTGAATTTGTGTGCCAGGGTCTGGTCACACAATGAGTGTCTGAGTTCATCTGGAGTTGTGCCTATCAGAGGGTGGGGCTGGCCTCAGTGCATGTGACTGGCGGGGACATTTCTCCGTGTTTGGGTGGGGGTCCCTGTGGTGGACGTCCATGCCCAGCACTAGGGCAGCACTTGTATGTCTGGGGACCTAGGCGTTGTATATTTAATGAGGAGGCTTGGGTTGGGGTGCTGTTCCCGCAGCGCACCATCGGCTCCGGAGTTTGGCAAACAACAGCCCCCCCCCTTTTTTTAACTGTGCATTTTTCCAGACCTGCCTTTATGATTCTAGCAACCAGCGCTTGATTTACTGGGGTGCCGCGTCCGAGCAGCCGCGGGCCGGGCGGCAGATGATACTGGCCTGCAGTGTCGGTACGGCTCCCGAAAGCAGAGCTGCGGGGCAGCTGGGCGAGCCTCGCCCGCAGCTCCCGACCCGCGCCTGTGGCTTGGCCGCCTGATTGTCTTCCCCTAACCGGCCCATAGCAAGGGAAAAGTGGGAGTTTTGAGAACCCTCTGACCCCAGGCCTGACCCCGATCCGGGAGGCGACTTCTGCCGGCGTGACCTGGTGCACCAGGAAACTCCAGGCGGAGCCACGCAGTAAAGCGAAAGGTCCATTCATCAGCCCGCCCCGGCGACTAATTGGCCTTTTGTACGTTAGTGCCTGTCGCCCAGCCGCGGGCGAAGGTGGGGTTGGGAAGGCCTAGGGGCTGTAAGTCCGGGTGTCCTGCGCCGACTGAGAGCCAGCGCTGGGGGCTGGGGTCTGGACAGAGCAAAGGCGCGTCGCACTCCTTGGAGGGGGCGCCAGAGCGCGCCAAAGATCACGCCCACGTGCTAAGCCGCACGCCTAGAGGCTGGTCTCCAAGCGTTGGGGCCTGGTCCTCCCAGCTGCTGGAGAACCTGCCCCCACTTCCAACTGCAGACCCAGCCCTCCTCTTCTCTCCTCACCCTCGGGATTTCAGACTCGCCTTCATGCCTCTCCCAAGTTCCCGGCCCAGGCATTGGCCTTGGGGCTGGGTTGGGCTCGCGTCCAGCCGGGTCTCACTGGTCTTCGTTCTTAGTGCTTGGGGTTCGTTGGCCGTGGCTCCGCCGCTTACTTACCCCAGAGAGACCCTGGGTTTCCTTCCTAGGCACCAATCCGGCACTGTCATGGAGCCAGCACCGTGCTTCGCTGGGTGGGGGGGTTGAGAGAATTTTTTTGGCAAGGTAGGGAGAGGGGAATTGCCCAACGCTTCCGGGATTACATGGAGAGGAAGCTCAGGTCTCCGCCACTCAAAATTCCACCTTCCTCTCCAAGTCAAACCCCACCTTTCTGATCCCCATCTCCCACCCAGTGTCCAGTCCCCAAATCGAGCCTTGCCATCCCCCTCCGTACCCCACACTTACTGCCCCTCCACACACCCTCTGGAGGAGCCCGGGAGAAAGCGCAGGGTTAAGGCCTCCTTTTCCAGCACAAAGGCCAGGAAGCACCTGAGGGGCCCTCGAGGTGGCTCGGGCCTGGGATAGGGGTGGGGTTGCGTTTGGAAAATGATGCTACAGAGGGTAGGCTTTGCTGGCAGTGG